AACTCCTTTTTATCTCTGAATTTGCCACCCCAGGACCAAGATAAGGGGAAGGATTGAGTGATAGCAAAATCTGAGAAGACCAGCTATAATAACTTGCTACTCCTATGCCTATGAAGAAGGAGTGCAAAATGTTACATTCTCAGCACCAGTTTTTGCTACCAATAGAAAATTGACAGGAAGGAGTTTATGACAACTGCCTCCCTTCCCCAATTACCATTCCACCTGCTCAGCTTAGGCACTCATAGCCTTTTCTGCAGCTAGCAGCCCAACTGTTCCCACCTCAGCACCAACCGTTATCTCTTCATCAGTCACTTGAGATCCTTGAGCTTCTTCTCCACCAGTCTTCTCTTCATTCTTCTGCACACTTCTACATGCTCACTGATGCTCTGCTTTCAGTCCCTCTTCCTTTTTCTCTCTCTTCTTCATGCATATGAATTCAGCCTGAACGGAGTTACATGGCAATCATCACAAAAGGATTCCAGCCTCTTCAGCCAATGGTATGGTCACATCTACATAAGGAATTAGCAGACACTGAACAATTCCAACCTTGCTCTCCCTCAAAAAACAAACGGTTAATGAAAGTGTTAAATGGTACTGTCCATGGTGCTGATTATTGTATTTAATTTTATGAAAACACGTTTAAGGTAAAACAGAAACACCTTTTGTGTTTCTTTGTTGTCAAACAGATCAGTGCAAATTACATATTGTCACTACACAATGCAAGTCCCACACTATCTCTAAATGAATTCAGATAACTATGAAAAGCAGTTATAGCAAAAGTATTGTTATAGCAATAGTGACAAGATTTACAGTATATTTTATGTAAAAAAGTGATTTCTTAAACAAGTGCTTTTTGGAACTGCTCATTACAAAGAACACACATGCAGTGCTTGTTTTCTAATAGATCCTAAGTAACACCCAGCAGCTGGTTCAAGTAGTAATTATCAGATATATAGGCATGAGAGAGATGAGACACTAAGTAATAGTGACAACATTAATTTTAGTATGCTTGGGCGTGGAAAGGTCTCAAACTAGTATGGTGGCACAACTTCAGAAAGTGAGTTTTCACATAAATGAGGAACTAAATAAAAAAGGCCCTAAAGTCAAAAGAAATAACAATCTTTAAGATCTGTCAAGAATGCTACCTATTATGGTATGCTTAAATGCTATTGAATAAGAGTCACACATGGCATGCAGACTTCCGGACAAAAGAGGAAATAGGAAAGCAAGTTATAAACCAGCATGGCTCAATGGCAGAGCTCAAGAGGTTATTTCAGCCAGACAGCTATCCTTCTGAAAATAGAAATCCAACCCTAATAAGGCCAATAATAAGTGTAGAGCCAATATGTAAGAAAAAAATTAATAGGGCTAAGATGAAATTTTGAGATAAACGCCCAACAATGATTTTTCAAATACCAGAAGCTGTAAGCCTGTAACAGAATCAATAGGTCTGCCTCAATCACAAAGGAGTAAAAGGAGCAATTCAGAAGGATAATGAATTTGCAGATAAGCTAAATGAACAATTTTCTTCACATCTCTTTTCACCAAAGTGGATGGGGGAGGAGAGAGGAATATGAAGAAAGTAGATATGGGGAGGTAACAATAATGGAGAACTGTCACAGATTGAAGTGATCATGTAATTCTCATAATGTGTACACACACACACACACACACACACACACACACACACACACACACACACACACACACACACACACACACACACACGGGGGGCTAAATAAGATGACACTGGTAATCTTAATTCTGGCATGTCCTCACTTGAGTACTTGGCTTAGAAGCCTCTTTTAATATAGATGGAGGGGTTTTGTTTTGGGTTTTTTTAGTATACATTACAAAAGTTAATTCACCTATCATTGGGTTAGACAGCAACCGCTTTCTTAAAGAGCACAAATCAGAAATACACATCAGTTTAGGACAAAAGTGAAGAATACCTATAGAAAGGAATATCAGTTGAAACAGTTGGAGGAATTTCATCAGGCGGATGTAATTACCCAAGTTGGGGATTTTTAAGAGCAGGTTGGACAAACACCTTTCAGGGATGGTCTAGATAATACTTAGTCCTGCCTTGAGTGCAGGGGACTAGACTAGAGGCCCTTTCGAGGTCCCTTCCAGTTCTATGATTCTGAGTTAGAATTTGGCCAGTATATTGAAGTTTGTTTCACTAATCTTGAGAACTGTGCCACAGAATCCTTGGTTTAGGTCCTCCAGTGTGTTACAAGTGTGATCCGAGGTTAAAATGCTAGGCCCATTGAAGTCAGTGGCACAACTTAATTGCACATCAATTAACTATAATAGATGATGATGATCATAACATCTAAAAGTTATTAAATGAATCATTTCTGTTACCATGCACGTTTAATATTATTTAAACATATCACCCAATCGATTTGTTGGCTTCAGGCTATAGGAAGAAAGAGTCATGTAAGTTGCATTCTCATTTTTTTGGCTCCAGTCTGTAAATTTATGGGACTGCCTATGTATCACTAGAAAATGAGTTTAATACATATTAATACACCTCTACCTCGATATAACGCAACCCGATATAACGCGGTAAAGCAGTGCTCCGGGGGGGCGGGGCTGCGCACTCCGGTGGATCAAAGCAAGTTCGATATAATGTGGTTTCACCTATAACATGGTAAGTTTTTTTGGCTCCTGAGGACAGCATTATATTGAGGTAGAGGTGTATACAAAAGATTGTATGTAGCTTAAGGAAAGGGAATAAGTGAAATTGGGGGAGGGAATTTTGTGTTAATTCTCTAAGTTTAAAATGTTTTAACTGGTTTTACACATCACTCCCACAAAAGACATACACAGGGGCTGTGGACATTCACTGCAAACATCTCTGAGTGTGAAGGAGCTATGGTGGCCACACAAGCTAGCCATGTCAGAGTTAACACACTATAAAGAATAATGGTGCATTTAATACTGTTGAGTAGAACTGTTTAGGAATTTTCAGGTCAGGCTGCTCAGTTCCCTGCCTCGCATGATCCCTGGCAGCCTGGACTCCCAGGCTCCACACACTGCCCAGGCAGCAAGATGAAAATTTCAGGTTTCCTGAAATAGACTGAAAATAATCTATCCCTAACTGCGAAAAATGTCTCTTCTCCCCCTCCCCCCCTGCCTTTTGTCCTGATTTGGGATTAAAGTTTTTTCAAAAATTCAAAATTTTGCTTGGGAGGGAAAGACTACGTTCTGGCCAGCTTTATTTCTAAGTCACAGTTCCAGGCTTCATGAATCTCAATGCAGACAGTAATGCTTCTTGTTTGTGTTGCTGCTCTGTTTTGATTTTAATAAATATATGGGTAGAGCAGTGTGGCTGCTTATTGGGCACCCTCTCATGGCCAGAGATTGCTGTACAGGTACTCTGCTCCCATTTGCCTGTCTTGTGGACCCCTTAAGCACTCCAGATAGTCTCTGTTGTGACTCTCAGCACCCCTTTCTGGAGCTGGTTTAATATTATATACAGTTTACATAAACCTCAGTCCTTAATCACAAACTAATCCACCTGTTCACAATGAGTCCCAACAAAGTCCAAAATCCTAAACTCCACCAGTTCCCAGTCCTCTGGCCCTGCTTCCGTTTATTTATTTATTTCTCTCTCTGTTGGTCTCTCATGTAGCCCACCACTTTTTTGATGTTTTTTATAGTGGAATCCCTGAGTCCTTTCAGGAGGTGTTTATATTGTAATTAGGTCTGGCTTAGCTGTAGGCAAGGTAAAGACAGGGCAGGCGTAGTCCAGAAGAGAATGCTTGAGCAGCTGAAAGGCTACCAGTAAGCTGGTGGTAGGGAGCTGACACCCAGCCAGGCATAGGCATGACTACTTCATGCTGGAGGCACAGGTTAACAAGGTGACTCACAGGCGTGGGTGCCCTGAGATTCATCACAAGTACTTCAAAGAAAGGAGAAATAACAATTAAGAAAGAAAATTCTCTTTGGTGGATCACAGCGAAAGGAAGAAGTTGTGATGATAACCCAGAAATTCATACAACCTTAAAGTCATCTGGTAAAGAATAAGCTCATCCTATAGGAAAAAGAACAAATGTAGAAATAATCGTAAATTATAAAATCACACTAAGACCATAGGAAGTGTTATACCAGAAAACACTATGAGATGTGATTTAGCTAATACTGTCAATTATTATTTTCCATGATTATTTGCGATTTAAACCATAAATTAAATAGCATCTTGGCATTAGCATGATTTTAATCAAAGTAAATGATGGTGCACTAAGGACAATGTGTAATAAAATACTATTTAAAAGTATTTTAAATACTATTTTATTTTTAAGAGCGCAATACAGGAACTGAATGAAGTACCGGCCAGGCACAGCATTGCAGATATGAGATGAGGCTATATGCAGCCATGCTACACCTATGTAAACTGATAAGGAATTCTTTTAAACACTACAGCCATATATGATAACTCTGAAACCCTTCTGGAGGTAGAGGGTATCTGTAAACTACTTCATGGAATCAAGCCGTCTTTGGTTGCTCGATACATTATTTCAGCTAGAGAAGAGCTGCTTATTCTAGACATTGGGCTACCCCCAGTTTTAGACACCACACGACCTAGGCAGGTGGTGCTGAGATGTAACCTCCACAGAGAAACACAGGTTTCGCTGCTACCCACCCCGCATGTTGGCAACCACTGCAGATGGCTCACCCCGTTTGGTAACTTTCATTCCTTTTGCCCAGCCCAGTCCCCTTTGTCCATTCCCCTGGCTGCCAATCAGCCCACCTGCCTCTTTCTTAAGCCCAGCTCTTGCATCTTGTCCCTGACTTTGCCCCTTCCTCCACCTGTTTCACCCTCCCCCAGCCATGTATTGCCCCCTGCTCTGCCCTGTCAGTTCCTCCCTCCGCTCGCTTTCTACCCACTCTGTGAGCGGACTCTGGCGGCAGAGAAGGGCAGCGCTTTCCGCAGGCGGCGCCGGGCATGCTCACGCGGCCCGGGCATGCGCACTACAGTCCAACAACCCGTTCTGAGGGGAAGCCGTTTCTGGCGCTAACTGTTCCGGGCGGTGTCACAGTGCAGCCATGTCTGGCGCGAAAAGACCAGCCCAGCTCGTTCGGCGGCGCCCTCTGTGAGGAGGCGGAGGAGAGGCAGCAGCGGGCATCCATGTCGGCGGCCAGGGATTAGCGAGGGAGACACCGAGCCCGGGAGGGGGGAGGGTAACTGACCCCCTCTCCTCTGGGGCTCCGGCGGTGGGGACATGGCTGACCAGAATGCCCCCAACAGCCACCTGCGGCTAGAGTGGGTCTATGGCTACCGGGGTCACCAGTGCCGCAACAACCTCTACTACACGGCGGCTAAGGAGATCGTCTACTTCGTGGCGGGGGTCGGCGTGGTCTACAGCCCCCGGGAGCACCGGCAGAAATTCTACCTGGGGCACCAGGACGACATAATCAGGTACCGAGACCCTCACGACCTTCCCTTTGCCCTCGCCCCAGAGCCGCCGGAGCTCCGGCCGAAATCCGGCCGGGGCACCGGGATATCCCAGCGACTGGAGACACCCTTCTATCCTGCAACCCCCTACTCTCCCCTATCGCCTCCACCTTCAGCCGCGGGAGCACCCGGCGCAGCCCTGCCTGGGGCACCAGGACATCCCCGGGTATCCGAGATCCCGATCCTCAGAAACATCGGTACAAATTGTACTTGGGATACCGGACTGTGTCATGTCCCGTGCCAGGATCACCAGACCTCCCACCCCTTTCTCCTGGCGTGATCACAAGCAGAATATTGGAAAGAATCTGAATATGGCAATGACAGTGTGGCTTTAATCTCTCTCCCCCCCCCCCCCCACAATTTAGTTTGTCTTGTATGGCAGCAAGAATAGAAATCCCTTTAGAAACGGCTTTTGGATCGCGCGGTTCACTGCTTGCTTTCCTCAGGTGCTTGGTGCTGAAATTTGTATGCATGGCTGTATGTCAATATTTTGCCAGTATAAAATGATGTGTCTCGACCGTTGCTTGGTTCCCATCTGTGTGTGAAAGTCAAAAGGCTGGGAAGTGGGAAGTAGTAATCTGATGTGCATTTCAAAGTCATTCAACTCAGGAGGAGGTTAATCTGCAGCAGGTAGACCTTTGGCCCACATTTAAAATACAGCGATTACAGTATGGAAATGAAAGTTTCTGCAACGTTTAAGATAATTTTATAATGTCCAAACGTTCTTGCACATTTGAAATTTATTCTACAGATCTGTCTAATTGTAGTAGGCTAAATGGTGAGTTAATAAAAAAGATTAAACACCAGTGGTGCAGAAGCAGAGTAGATGTCATGGAGGCAGAGTTATTTCCTAAATACACCAAACCAATAGTAGGTTTTTGGATACCCAGGTAGCATTGGAAGGCGAGTGGCAGTATTTTGAAGTGTATAAAGGGTAGATGTGAACCTGAGTCAGCAATCCTTTCTCTTCCAGTAGGCCTCATTGTGTGTGGATTTTAAATATTGTTGTCCTTTGATTGCTGTTTTTATTTAGAGAACAATTTTCAGTAGCCAGTAAATCTTGTAAAAACACATTGTATACTGTGAATTGCTTGTGATGCTGGAAAGCACTTGGCATATCTTTTATAATTGCTGTACAAAGGTATTAACTAGCATTGCACATAGAGAGTAAAATGGATGCTGACTCTTTCATTCAGGGTTTAATACATTCTAGAAATCTGGACCAAAATGGCCACAAATATTTCTGTTTTCATTTTGATCTTAAAATTCTGTTGAGGGTCTTTTCAAACTTTTGAAGATTTTAAACTACTGGTATGAGCTTCTCTTACAGACCATTCTGTCCATAAATTAATTCCTACTTGGTGCTCAAAATGAGAAGAAAAAATTAGGTAGCTCATGGAATGCTGTGGTGTACTATGCAACCAAGCTGGATCAGATATGTGAATTAGCTATTTGTTCTATGGTCATTTCATTCTTTTTTTGACAATTTCTTCTTAATCTGAAACAAAAAAGCACCTTGAGAATTGTCATCAACTCCTCAGGCATTGTGGAAAATCCTTCGCCATAGCCCCCATGAGCCTTTGCTTCCTTTGAGAACAGCTCATACGAATGAAGGGCCCAATCCTGCAAAGGTTTACTACATAGTTATTATTGACATGAATAGTTCTCATTGATGTAGTACTTGTTATCATGAAGTTTCCCTGTTGATTTCAATGGGGCTACTTACAGCATTACACCTGGTAGACGTGTTGACAGGATTGGGCCATGAGAAAGAAATTGTTTATGGCTTCCAACTGTGAAATTTCTTTGGTCTCTATGAATGTTTGTATGGAGTGCTAATTTGAGATAACAGGCTAATACTATCATTCAAACTGTACCAAAGAGCAGAAATTCTGCAAGGGGGAAATCTTTAGTGACTTCCTTGATTGTTAGTAGATACGTTTTGGCTTCTGTGGTATCATGATCAAACATACAGGAAGTTCTTGCTTTACAAAGTAGTGCTGTTATGATGATCTGATTCTTTATCTGTTTGCTGAGGACACCCTTGTGGAGCGGGGAGTATTTTCAATTTTGTACAGTTTTGTATACCTATCAAACTTTAGAAAGACTATATAGAACTGTTAGAACACTTGAAGATGTAATGAACATTCATCTCAACAGTAGAACGACTATTTCCAGTGATACCATCGGGTTTTTTTATGATTAATGGGGTTACTTTCTACTTTCTCCTTTATAAAACAACAACCCCATCCTTGGTAGCTTTTCAAACTTAACTTTGGTGACTGAGAGCATTAGTTCTTAAAGATACATTTTAGTATCTCATCATCCTGAAATATTATATTAAATTGTTTTCTCAAAGAAATTAGCTATGAGAAAAATGTGAGAATGTCATTGAAGGTGGAATTATATAACAGAATAATCATTATAGCTGCTTTATTTTCTCTCCATAAAGTAGTAAGTTTTCAGTGTACTGAAAATTTGCTCATACAGTTTGATTTGATAAAACACATTTGTTGAATACTGCGATGTTGTTACTTACAATCTCTGCAGGAAGAAAACTGCAGGATTGCCATTTCTGTATGCATACGTGAGTTCTCAGTTGTAAAGGCAGGACTGAGGTTTTAAACTTTATAATGTATTAAAAAATCAAACTTGAATACATACAGATCTACATCTGCTAAATTTAAATTGCATTATAAACTTTTGATAACTAGGTCCCATAAAACAAGGTGGGTAGATCATTGGTACTCTTCTGCATAGATATGGCATGTTTTGAATGGCATTGTGATATTAAGCAGCACTTAGGAAGATAGGAATTTTCATACCAGATCACACCAGTCGTCCCTCTAGACCAGTCCAGTATCCTGTTTCCGATAATGGTGGGTACTGGATGCTTGAGAAAGGTGCAAGAACTGCTTTAGTGGTCAATTACGGAATAACTTGTCCATAGTAGACAGTTTCCTCCTAATACACCTCTACCTCGATATAACGCTGTCCTCGGGAGCCAAAAAATCTTACTGCGTTATAGGTGAAACCGCGTTATATTGAACTTGCTTTGATCCACTGGAGTGTGCAGCCCCGCCCCCCCGGAGCACTGCTTTACCGCATTATATCCGAATTCGTGTTATATCCGGTCGCGTTATATCGAGGTAGCGATGTACCATCAGTTAGTGGTTAGCTTCTGGTGTCAAGATTTAAACCTCTTATTTAAAATAAAACACACACACATGGTTTAATCCTACCTAATTTAGCTAGATGTCCTCATTATCCATATAAAATGTCTAATCTTATTTTTAATCATGGTAAACCCTTGGCCTCAGTTTTACCTGTGGGAATGAGTCCCACAGGTTAATTATGCATTGAGAGAGAAAAAAAGTTTTCTTTTTATCTGTTCGTTGCCTTTCAATTTAATTGAATGTCCTTTTGTTTTTGTTATATGAGAGAGTAATTAGAATCACTCAAATTACTTTCTCTGATATCATTAATTATTTTGCATACCTCGATCGTGTCCCTCCCCTTATTTGTCTCCTCTCTAAAATGAACAGTCCCAGTCTTCTCAATTTCTCTTCATAAAAGGGCTATCCATGCCTCTAATAATTTTTGTTCCTCATATTAGGACTCCATTTATTTTTGCTATGTATCTTCTGAGAGTCAATAACCAGAAGTGAACACAGTATTCCAAGTGAGGGTATATCATTGATGCATATTATAATATTTTCAGTATTACATTCTATCTTATTCTTTATTAGAGTAGTTCAGCAGTGCCACTATAGTTAAAGTTGTGTCACAACTTCTGTTTAAAGGTCAGCCTTGCTAAATCCTCCAAAATTGACATGTTTAGTTGGATTCCTTTGAAGTTTGGTGTGGCTCAGGAAGATGCAGTAACCTGACTTTGAAGTCATTTGAGTCATGGTCTCCTGAGATATATATATATATATAAGGCCCCCCCACAAAAATATTGTCATTTTTCAAAAAGTTTCTAGGTGGGTTCTCTGACCAGAGCTAAAGATCAAACTATTGATGTGATGCAGGCCAAAATGGTCTCAATCTGTTGAGTTTTACCCAAAGTAGTATATGGCTTCCACTAAGCTTTTGGAGGACACAAATTGAGAATGGTATTTAAGAAAATGTAAATTTTTTTATAGTGCATGTGTCAATACAGAAAAAACAGAGGGTTTCCTTTCCCACCATTTTATATATTATAAAACTTGACTCTTGTAAGTGCTCTAAAATCCAAATGGTTATTTGGATTGCTTTGAAATTTGGTGTTTCTTGCGTGCAGTAGTGTTAGTGTTCCAAATTTGGGGTCATTTAAGAGACGGGTTTCTGAGTTACAGGGCCCCCCAAAAACACTTTAGTTCTGCTGCCTGGTACTGTTAAACTGAGAGGTGATCATTATTGGATGAATCACTGACCTTGTTGAGATTGATGGGTTCAATTATCATAACTAAAGGATACATTAATCACAAGCCCCCACCTAAGACAAAAGGAGTTTGGGACTGAATGGCTGGAGGTTGCTGCAATTTGTGAATCATGGGTGGCAATTTTATTTTGTGGGGAATGTAATCAAAGTCTTTGAAGGATAAAATTAGATATGTAAATACTTCCTGGGAGGGGAAGGAGTGTGTGGGGGAGTCAAAGGAGAGATCTTTGGGGCTGCAGTGAGAGGAGGGGAATAAATTAGGATTGGTGGTAGGGGAGGGGAGAGAGGTTGGAGGCTCAGGTAAGGGTGGTGTGGGGATTAGCGGGAGTGGAGAAGTGGGACATTGAGAAGGGGGATGTGAGTGTGAGTGGCAGAGGGACTGAAGGAGAATGGGGCAGGCGCACTTGTCAGCCCCATAGTCTCCCTTCCTGTGTGTCTAAATGTGGGAGGGTTCTTGCCTCTCTGGGACTCCCCTCATGAGCTGGGAGATAGGGAGCCTTGCCCCACTGATGGTGTCTGAATTCCTCTCCTGCTCTCCTTG